CAGAGGTGAACAACCTTCCAGCAACCAGATGGTCACATTAAATAACACAATGACCGAGTCATTAGAAGACTGCAAGCTAACTTTGTGCCACAGCCTGAGATCAGTGCATGTCTCCTGCTAAAACTAAACTGAGGCGTAAAGTCGTTTAATTGGGATTCTTGGAAACAGTTGTGGTTCTCGTGATCGTATATTCATCTGAGATCCATGACCTGTGTTTTAGGAGTTCCTGTATAATTCAGTGCTGTGATAAAACTACTTGTCTCGCCATGTTGGCCCAATGCCTTCTCGGTTCCACCTAAAACTTCTTAGGCTAAAAAGCTGTGTTTGTACATTTTTCTTGGGAAAAAATAACGGAATGAAAACAGAAACTTCTTTTCAGTTGGGTAGAGAGTTGCATGGGGTTAAATTTGCGATGAATCTTGTTGTTTTTGCGATGAATCTATATTGTTTTTATTAAAACAGAGTGACATCAGTTTGACTCATTATCATTGCTGACAGATCTTTGATTGGCAGGTGGCTGATGATAGTGGACCATTTGGACAATTTTTCATAAAGGACCATTTTTTTTTTTAACTTAAGTCCATGGATGGATGGATGGATGGTTGGTTGGTTAGATAGATAGATTGATTGGATGGATGGATGAATGGTTGGATAGATGGACTGATGGTTAGATATGGATGGATAGATAGATGGCTGGTTGGATGGATGGATGGATAGATTAGATGGATGAATGATAGATAGACGGTTGATTAGACAGATGTTAGATATAGATAGATAATAGATGGATAGATGAATGGATAGATAGATAGATGGTTGTTAGATGGATGTATAGATGGGTAGATAGATGGATGGTTGGTTACATATTAGTTAGAAAACGAAGAGGTGGATGAATAGATAGATTTTGATTGTTTGACATCTCACTTCAAATGAATGACACCCTCTTTCAAGCACAAATCTTTTCAAAGCAGCTCATCCTCGGCAGTGTGTGATTGCTGTTTTCTGTCTGGTTTGTCCTCATGCAGGCAGGCTGCCATTGTGTCTCTATTCTGAGAAAAATATATGGAGGACAAAAGAGCTGTCCGTTCCACAGACAGTGGAGCAGCGTATTCTGAGAAAGTTAGAGAACTCCGAGCTTGTAATTTCCATGCCTGTGTCACGGCTCTCTCTGCCAGTTTATCACACTCCAAACCTCTAATTTATCCAGATCAGATTTGCACATTCTAGTGGTTCTCATTCACTCTCTGCCGCCCCATTAATTACAGAGCAGCTCTGCTGTTTGCAATCTAAGGTCTTGTTTCTTTTTTTTCTTCCCTCTCTTACACAAATACTCAGTCACGTTGTGACAATTTTTACTTTTTTTTTTTTTGGTTTGTTTTGCTTTAAAACGTATGAGAAGATGGAGAAGTTCTACACTCTTATAGGGTTTTTAATGGTTCTTTGCAGCATTTTGGGTTGTAAAAAGAATTTTCTTATTTTTTTATTTATTGATTTTTTTATTTCTCACTCTAAGGTTACTGAGTTGGTCGTTTAGCTTCTTGATGTTACATTATAGGTTGTCCTATAATCTTTTAACACATATTTGAATTTTCCCAGTTTTCTAAAGACCAAATAGAACTTAAAATGTTCTTCTATGGCATCATAAGGCTTTAAAACATTTTTGATTTTTTTAAGAATGCAGATAGATCTGCAACACAGTTCCCAAAATTGCTAGCTTCTGTTTTGTATGTTTCAAATTTCAAAACCAGAAGCATTTACATGTGCGTTTCATGCTCAACCATCATTAATTTTCAAAGCTTTTGTAATCATCTCTGTTTCCATGGAAATCTGAGAATGCAGTGATTATGGAATGTTTGCAATGCTGTGTTGCTTCATGCTGGGAACCAGACAGCATCCTGTCAGAGATGCTTTTAATGTGTTTTATTCAAAAATTTGTTTGTATTTGCATCGTTGATTATGTGTATTCTGTATATTTTGTATATAAGGCTGTCTGAGCTGTTTATGTTTATTAGACTGTGTTTAGAGTTTTTTATTTTTCAAATTATTTTTTCATTAGTTAGTTTTCACTTTTTTTTCTTTTTAGTTTCTTTGGTGTTTTATAGTTTCTATTCAGTTTTAGTTTAGGAAATACATGAGAAAAAAATCCCAAAACCAAGGCTGCTAAACAGTGGCCGGCCTCTATTAACAAAACATCTCTTCATACTTATCTTTCTGAGAGAGAGAGCAGATTACAGTAATGCAAAATGATCCTGCAATAACGGATGTCCAGACTAGTGCAAATACTAGTTGTTGAATCATTAGGGAGAGAGAGAGAGAGAGAGAGAGAGAGAGAGAGAGAGAGAGAGAGAGAGAGAGAGAGAGAGAGAGAGAGAGAGAGAGAGAGAGAGAGAGAGAGAGAGAGAGAGAGAGAGAGAGAGAGAGAGAGAGAGAGAGAGAGAGAGAGAGAGAGTGTGTTCAGTAAGGAGGATTCTAGGATTCCTGCTCTTCTAACTCTCTCCTCTGGGTCATGCCCAGGGATTATAAGCTTTCTTAGTACACCATCATTAAGAGAAAGAGAGTGTGGGCCTTTCTCTTCAAGACATCATATTAAAGCATTTAATATGCATATTAAAGCATATTAAAGATATGATTGGAGAACTTGTGTTTGGAGTAAGAAGCAACTCTTCTAGTCTTTCAGACATCTTTAGTGAGAGCTGGTACATCAGTCTGTCTTTCCCTGATCCAGCAGGTGGATCTTTACTGAGACACCAAACCAGGCTCAGTGTCTAGACTCTAAATATCTCTAGTGTCCAAAATTCATTTTCAAATATAAAGACTAAAGGCTGACCATACAGAACAACTTTAGACGTCTAAATTCAAAATAATAGCGTTTTAATTGTGCATGTTGCTGAGCTGCTATTTTTATAGATTGTTTTTTTTTTTAAATAATATTAAGATTATCAGCACATCAGGGGTTTTGGGATATATTTAGTTGTAAAAGACAATAATCAGATGAGGCATCAGTCTGAGAGGGATGATATTAGATACAGCTGAATTTTATATAATAAATGCATGTAGAAATCAAATAGATTTTGGATTGCAACGTGTTTACAGCATTAAAATTGATTTATTGAAAAACATTGGGAAGCTTGTTTTGCAACTTCATAACTCAATTCCGAGCCAGGAATGATTGACAACCACCGCCCCCCCCCTCACGCACACACAAAATAAACAACAAAATCTAATCTTTAGAAGCTTTTACTGTGCAAAATGTAAACTAAATATTGATGCAACATTATTGACCAGCCACTGGTCAATGCATATAGCTTATCATACACTTTCCAACATAGTAGAAGTTGTAGGGATGAATCAGAAGCAACCTCCATTGTGCTTTTGGACAAGCCACTTTAATGTTAGTTTGTGTGGAGGTAGACCATAACATGGGTTAATTTCATGCATTAGAAGTAATTTTAATCATATTTATTTCTGTAATCCAATATTAAAAAAGAGCACCTACACAAAATTCAGTTAATGTTCACAGTCACACGCACAACCCCATATGCATACAGTATTTCTTCTGTTTGTGTTCTCATCACATCTTAAAATTGGTAAATGAATAATGTATTTAATGCATTTTTAGTGTGTGGGTTGAAAATTCATGCATTTAGAAATAATAATGGCAATTTTTTTGAAACAGCATGATAATAAGAGAGCGAAAGAGGCATACTGCTCTTGTAATAGATGGCTTGTGTTTGTGTGTGTGCAAGTGTTTAGGACTTTTGGGAGAGCAGTTAACTTTCCTTTATGAACTGATAATTCTTCTTTTTTATCACTCGATTTTTCTTCTCCACCTTTGGCCTAATAACTCCTCTCTGTTCTACTCCTCCTTTCACCCCGTGGCTTGTCCATTGCACTAATTCAGTCCTGAATGGATGTTTCTTTAGTGCAGTAGCTACTGCTTCAGAACCCAGAGGTGCCAGGAATAAACGTGTCTGCTCACTCAGCACTTCAGTTTATCTTTCAGTCTGGTCTCCATACACAGGTCCCCAATTGACAATGTACAAATTCAGCCTTGGTTTATCTCTGAACTTTGACTTTCCAAGTCAAAATGTACTCCAACACAAACCCTCAAGATCATCGTTCATCGATAGACACCCTCAAGAACAACAAACCTCTACATAGACCTTCAGGAGCAATCTTTACACAAACCTTCAGCCACAAAGTACCTCATAAAGCACGTTCTGCTTTAATCACATCTCTTTGTCAACTCCAGCAACCCAGTTTCAGCTCCGCTGTCTTTTCCAGGTGTCCTCATTCTCCCTGGGTCATCCTTTCTTCCCCTTTGTCTTTCTTTCTGACTTTCTCTTCTTATATCTTTCTCTCTTTAATCCTCCCTTTGGTCTTATATTAATCATGTATTCTCAAACCTTTACTGTTATCTCCACCATATTTTCCCTTTCTCTCAGTCTTAATCTCTTTACCATTCACTTTTTCTCAGACTAAATAATTTAGTTTATTTCACCTCACATTCATTCCGATCTGTCAGACTTTCTTTTTGTCTTTCTCATTTGTCAATTAACAAATATTCTCTGCTAATAAGAGATCTCTCACTCCTGTTCTTTTAGTATGTAAGCAGTTCAGTCACATTTCTCTATGGTTTCCTACAAGACTCTAATTAGCCTCGTTTCTAACCCTCAGTTAGGCTATCTTCTCTATTATTATTCCAAAGCAGTGTTTTCTCACCCGCTGTCTCATCAATACTCTCAAATATATCCTCCCCTCCCCTTCCACAGCACACACACCAACAATTAGTCTCATTTCTGTCAGGGGATCTAGAAGTCCAGGCCTCATTGATATGTTAGGCTGTAATGCCGTCCATGTCATGGTAAAGCCAAACAGTAGATTGAAGATTAAGCTTCCAGGGGACTTCAACCAAAAGTCTATTTCTGATGGGGCTTCATGGTGCAAATAACAGCAGATCTCTTAATGTTTTTGTCTTTTTCCTCTCTCTCTCTTTCTCTCAGTTATACTGCAAGAGTGGTGGGCAATGGAGTTCATGCTCAAAGAGAGAATCCAGAAGTAAGAGTCAGAAGTGCTGACCCTGTGCTTATGGATGTCAAAAACAGACTTGAGCTCTTCAACATGGTGAGAAATATCATGATTTGGTGACACTACTGCACACATCTATGACATCTTAAAGGGATAGTTCACCTAAAAATAAAAATTCTGTCATCATTTATTCATTTACCGATCTGTTTTGTGTTCGTTTCTTCTTTGAAAACATTCTTTATTCCACAGAAAAAATGAAGTCATTTGGAAGTTATAATAGTTCATAATAATAAATCATAAAATGCATGTTATAACATTCCATTATAAAATTAAATATAAAAAACTTAAACATTTCAAAATTTCTTGGCGTACTAAAACATCTAAAACTAAAACTTAATTAAAAAAATAAATAAAAACTATACAGACATAAAAAATTCTAAAAATGACAAAAACGCACAACAGCATTTCTTAAACTTTAAAATTTAATCACAGACAAAGTATAAAAACTCAATTCAAAATATTTATAAAAACTATAATAGTATCTCAGTTAGGGCTGCATGATTAATCAAAATTATATCGATTTATTTCAAACACTCGACTGACGTTATGAAATGAGTTTGGAGTAAAAATATGTTATTAAATGTGGTATTTTCACGTGCTTTCAGATGGAACAGCATTTACTACACAGAGCCGTAGTTCACTGAGAAGCTACGCAAACTGCTTTCATAATCGCAGAACAATTTCTTCAATTTCATTATCACGCGATTATGTCGTCTGCGATTATGAATGCGATTTTGCGTAGCTTGTCAGTGAAATACAGCTCTGTGTAGTAAATGCTGCTCCATCTGAAAGCATGTGATGGAGATTAACTACTGATCACAGAACTGGCTTTACTGACAAGATGCGCATGACAATCGCATGCGATTAATCGCGCAGCCCTCAATGACACTATAATAACACTTGTTTGGAACGACATCAGGATGAGTAAATCAATTTTTTCTTTCTTTCAGGTGAACTATCTCTTTAAGAAGAATAACATTCACTAGTAATTGCTTAAAATGTATTACTAATTTATCTATTGATAAATATGTTATTTCTAAGATGGCAACCATAGTGACCAAGCATTGATTTGGGAGGTTATGTTCACATAACCCCTTTTTACACCAAATTAGAAGTTATTAAGATGAATGTGATGTTCTTAAAACTTGTAAACAGAAGCAGGGTTATTATCATAGTGTTCTGCTTGGCTGAATTTTGCTCCATGATGCACAAGTTCACAGTTTTGCATAATGTGAGTGTTGTTTGAGCTAGGGAATATCCATCAGCTGTGTCTCAGGGAATACCACAGGTTTTAAGCATTGTACTGTCATGGTAACACCATGGTATTAATTGAAAATGCCATTTTACATGAATATGGTAATCAATATGGTCAAAATACCATGGTATTACCATCACAACACTATTTTACCACCACAGTATTTTTTGTAAGGGATATGTACAGGTTATAGTGTAGGTTATTCAGTAGAAGATAAGACTTCTAAATGCAAAACGCTACCTTAGTGATGCCTGTCAGTGACCAAAAGTGGTACATTGTTTATTTTAGGTGATTATTTAGGTGATTATAAATGCAGAGCACAAATTCTGAGTATGGGTCACCATACCTGGCCACACGTCACTTCACTTTCTCTTCACTTTCACTTTTATTATATTCCTGTTTTTTGCAAACTTTTATGATAAAAGAAATCACAACTTTTACAATGATAATAACATCAGACAGTGTTGTTGGCCTGCTGTAAGCAGTCTGAAGAAATGTGCTGATTAGTACGTCATTCACATCTTTTATCTTTTATTATAAAAGTTGATTTTATTACTAAACATTAATGTGAATAATAATAATAATAATGATGATGATGGTGATGATGCTGATGAAATATTACTGGCAGTATTTTTGTTACTTTAAAATATGTTTTTATTATTAGATAATAATAATAGTTAATAATAATAATAATAAAATTAGAAAAAAAATCTTTAATAGGAAATACACTTATACATGATACGAAATGTTGTGTAAAATAGAAAATGGTATTATTTTATTAAAATGCAGCTGCTGATATTTGTAATATCTGGGGCTGCCACGATTCGTGGACTCGATTATATATTTTGCCCGTGTTGATTAACCTGCAAAATACCAAAAGTGGCACATTCCATGGACGAGAATTCATGAAAAGCATTATTAGACCGCTTTCTAAGGCTGCACGAAATATGAAAACCATTTAAAAATCATAATAAAGCATAGTGCTATTATGAATTCACAAAGGCTGTGATTCAATTAAATAAATATATGTGCTGCGGGTTTAATATGTGTTTTATTTCTATGTCTTTAGGTTACGTGCATCTCAGAGCGGCTCCGTTCACAGTAAATGCTGCTCCACATAAACAGTTATCATTTACATGTGCGTACCATGAGTATATGTATGCACATTACTCCATGAGTCTGAGTTGCTTATAACGTTCCTCTGGGAACAATATGCACCATTCTATGAACCTACACCAGCACAGAAGAATACATCATTATCATTATCATCTTTATCTATCTATTATGTAAGATGCTAACTATGAGTTTGCATGTTTTGATGTCCACATGTTCTTGTTCAAGAAATGACAGTGGCTGTAGCATTTCTATCATGAAGAAGTAACCAAATATTAATGCTCAAGTGGACATTTGAATTAAATGCTGTTTAGTCAATATTAAACAAGGATTAGATCGCGCTGTAAAGTGTAAAAACAATTGTCAGGCCGTTGGTGCCCTCTGCAGGCATTTGATATAATACTGTACATAAGTTATGATTATATTGTTTTATTACACTATGTATTGTAACGGTTTTGTTCAACCATATGATTACTTGCTTTGGATATTTTATTTGAACCAATTATTATTGCCTCATTGCTCATATTTATTTTAAGTTATTTTAAACTATTGTTCGCTATGGTCTATTTAAATTACTGCAAAAAAAAATAAAAAATCGACCGATTACTTGATTACCAAAATAATCGTTAGTGACAGCCCAAGTAATATCTGATATCCAGTAGAGCACTTTTTTAAAACATTTTTTATTGTATTCCATTAATTTTTCAGTTTTTGCATAAAAGAAATTACAACTTTTCCAACGCTAATCAAATCAGGCAGTGTTGTCGACCCACTTATAGGCAGTCTGAAGAAATTTGCTGATGTCTTTAGAAGCATTTTCCTGTTGTTGTTTGAGATGTTCTGTTCTCATTCTGATAGACCTGATGGAGCAGTCATACGTTAACAATGTGGCAGGAAACAAGGGCAGGTGTTCTTTTTCAGATGTGAATTAAACAGCTCATCAAAGTGATCCTGATGTTATTCAAATATTAACTAACAGATACAACTTCCACCTAATTAACAGCACCTAGTGCAGACTCTGAGATGTGTTTAACTGCTTTGGCTGTGGAGGAAGGGATTTTATACATGTCACATGTGGAATTAAGGCTGATTCTGATGGGAAGTGAAGAATTAAAGAGAAGAAATGAGGACTGGCAGGGGCTATAGATTGAATCTGTGCAGACTGACCTAACAGAGTCATCTGACTGTCTTGTGAACTGGTGGCATCAGTAAACAATGGTGAGAACATCATGGCCTTATACACACACACACACACACACACACACACACACACACACACACACAC